ATATCTGTTCCCTTCCCTGAAGAAACCACATTTTCACCACCAGAGTGGAGTGGATTTTCTTCTGCCTCACACATCAACAAAGCTGTCAGCTAAAAACTAATTGCGTGATGCTGTGAGAGGCAGGAAAAATACAAGATTTTCAGATTCTAGGCTGGGTAGGCATATAGGAGAATCATGTAGATACTGAAACCTCATTGGACTTAATTGCAGGTAAAGCAGGGCTAAATTTGACCCATTAATTCTATGCTGTGTGCTCAAATTCAAAATGCATGTCTGCCTATGCCACTATTCATTTTTGGAGATTTAGGTACAAAATCATCTATTCTAGGTTCTTAGGCAAATGTTTTTCGGTCATTAAAATTGTCAGTGATATCACAACCATCCCTATTAACCTGTTGATTGGTACCACTCATCCAAGAAATGATTGTCCCAATTATTAATGGGGCAAATTCATTCTTTTACATTGACAACTGAATTTGAGCCACTGTATTTTCATGATTCATATTTTGTGGTGGCTGAAGTCTTTAATGAGCAAGAGAAAGTGGCAGAAAGTCTAATTAATCTACAACGGGCCTATTTTTGATTCCTATAATTGTTTAAAGCAACCACAAACCAATTGTTGCTACACACTAGCAGTGAGGCCTTCCTTAACAAACTCTGACAAAACCCTGCTAAGCATCAAAGTAGTTGTCAGTAGAAATTAATTGTGTTGGAGTAGCTTATGGCACCATTTTTGAAAGGGCAATACTTTTTAATATACTTCGCACAACTGAACAGACACAACACTGAAAGAAAGACAATAAATTGGGTCACTCCTACTACCTGGGGTTCTCATAATCAGTGTAGAATTTTGCATGAAATACCAATTTTATGCTGATATTTTAAAACCTGATAAGCATTAATTTAGTGTGGGTACTCAAGGGAACTGTTCATAGTAAATTTAGTTTCTTATAAAGTATGGATATTTTAATTTAAAAAAATGTTATACCTGGGTTGTATTTCAATATTGAAGGAGCTGTTCTTAAACAACAGAGTGCTTAAACATGTGCTTAACTTAAAGGACACGCTTAAGTCCCATTGAAAACAATGAGATAAATACATGCTTGCCGTGAAGCATGTGCTTATGTGTAGTCCTACGTAAGGGCAAGAAAGGTGATTGTCAGTTCTTTTTGAAGCAGAGACCATTTTTACCATGCTCACACTAGCTTTTTCATTATGAATCCTGATTTTAATTTTAACAAATTGTATACTCTTTATGTTGGTGTAGAAAAGTTATCAAGCTGGATAAAACCGGGTTCAAAAACTATAAATCTGTCTGGACAAATTCCTTTGTTGTGCCACTCCACTGACTTCAGATGAGTTACACCGGTGATGATGCTGGCCCACTAAGTTTATTTTCAGTTATAGCATCAGATAACATGCAGTAGTTTAGACCTAGTTTCATTTTTGTCATGTGCTACACACATAAAATTTTTTACAAATGCACACATTTTCTATAATAGAGCAGGTCAGTCCTTAAAGTAGATTTAAAGCGGTGATATTTCACAATATAGTTTGTGACAAGTCCACTTCACCATTCCCTAAAACGGGATGTAGTGTCATCACGGAGTTCTTAACACCGTCTCAGTGCAAGTCTATGGAGAAGACATCAAGATGTCAAAATATTCTAAGGGGGGGGGGGGGAAGTGCCAACACAGGGCTTCAGAGACAGTGCTATGAGGTGGAGATGAAGCAACAAGAAGTGATATCTAGCACCATATAACATTGCCAAATAAAGCCATATACAATCCAGTGCTGTGATTAAAAGAAATAAGAAATGAAAAGGGGCAACAAAATAATGTAATGTTTTGAACAGAAACCCAAAGAGTAAAGAAACTTTATTCTTAAACAGCTCTGCTACACTTAAGCACTGAAGCCATTATCAAAGGTCTCGTACAGAAGTAGTGAGACACCAGTGGGAAAACGTTGAATTCATGAGTATGAGCCAAGTAAATGGACAGGTAGAACAGCCAAGTGCTATACCTATTCCTGTTCTATTATGTCTGCAATGTTACTCCCTTCTCCCCCCCCCCCCCAAGCGAAGAACATTAGAAGGTTTCCTGTTGCTCTCTAATCAGTACAATCTACAGTGCCACATAGAAGAATGTGTAACGTCTTTCTGCAGCACAGAGTAACACAGGGCAGTGGGAGGGAACCTCATAAAGTTGTGGGGACTTCCAAGAGAGGACCACATGTGCTTCAGCATCTCTGCACAACGGAGCTCAAGGTGCTGGGGCACATTTCCTGGTGTTTGTGTCAAGCTTAATCTCACAGTGAGCTCATAACAATAATTTGAATGAAGCGAGTATCTCTCTCACTCTCTACATCCAGACTGAGTTACTCCATAATCTTAATGCAATGACGCGCATCTTCCCTCACTTGAACCCCTCCATACTGTTCAGTTGCCTTACGCATCAAATCATAGCTAAAAGGAGGCCCTGATCCTGGAAATGAATTTATGTGCGTGTGCCCCTGCACCATCTGCAGCTCCACTGACTGGAATGGGGATCTGCTTACTCTGGTTTCAGAGTAACAGCCGTGTTAGTCTGTATTCGCAAAAAGAAAAGGAGTACTTGTGGCACCTTAGAGACTAACCAATTTATTTGAGCATGAGCTTTCGTGAGCTACAGCTCACTTCATCGGATGCATACCGAGGAAACTGCAGAAGACATTATATACACACAGAGACCGTCTCTGTGTGTATATAATGTCTTCTGCAGTTTCCTCGGTATGCATCCGATGAAGTGAGCTGTAGCTCACGAAAGCTCATGCTCAAATAAATTGGTTAGTCTCTAAGGTGCCACAAGTACTCCTTTTCTTTTTGCTTACTCTGGCTACACCTGCAGCCCTGGGGTCTTAGACTGTAAACCCTTTGCGGTAGAGACCTTGGGTAAAATTTTCAAAAGCACCTAATTCATTTAGGAGCCTAAGTCTCATTTTAAAAAGCAACTTAGGGTTAGATTTTTAAAGGTATTTAGGTGCCTAAATACACAGATAAGCACAGAGTGGGATTTTCAAAAATGCCTAGGGCCCAGATCCACAAAGGCATTTATGCACTTAACTCCCACTAGGAACCTATCTTCATCTGTAAGTACCTAAATACCTTTAAAATCTGGCCACCTTTGAAAATGGGACTTAGGCTCCTAAGTCAGTTAGAAGTTTTTGAAAATTATATTCTATGCCTTTCTATTTGTCCCAGTAAGTGTCTAGCACACTATTTGGTGATGCAAAACTATAAAATAATAATACTACAAGAAGTCTTTTTGAATTCAAATCATCAGTGCAAAATACAAAATAAAATGAGGGTTCTGCACAGCACAGTAGATGAAAGATGGGGTTGCCCTGACCTTGTTTCTTTTTCTTTTTCTTTCAGTAGTTTCTAGTAAACTCTTTTTTTAGTGGTTGCACTCCCATCATCACCACAAGCGAGGTCAGTGGACATGGCCTTACATGACAGCATTTGCCTTTTACAAACAAGTTAGCACTAATTCCACCACTGGGGTAATTCCACCAAAGCCAAAAGAATTACACCAGAGATGAATTTGGCCCTAGTCTATTTGAATAAATAGTTAACTCTTCTCCGCTTGAAGAAGTGATTATTGAAAAGTTTTGTCTCCACATACAAATGCAAATGACAGCCGAAGAACACGTTAATGTTCATCTTTCAAACTAAGTACGTAGACAAATGCTAGTCATTAGAAACATTTCCGTGCATTTATATTCGTCTGTCCTCTAAAAGACTTTTCAGACAAATATGTCATCAAGATATTCAAAACCATGTAATCTTATCCAAAGTTTCATCTATCAACAGTACAGTTTTCATCTCTTGCAGCTGTGTGTCAGGCAGATTAGCCAGCTGATAGCAAATCGTGGGGGGGAGGGGATGACGGGAAAGAAGGCCTCTGTCATCCTCATAACAAGAAATACTGCAGGGGAGAAGAGATTGGTATAGAGTTGGTTTTTTAAAAGCTGCCAAAGAGCCCTTCACAAAAGCAGGGTCACGGGAGATTTGCAAAGGGATAATGAGTGTTTGGTGCCTCACTGCCTTTTGAAAATCTCCCGCCTGTAGAATGTGGTGTGTTCTTAAAAACAACATACTGATTACAATTGTATATCTGGTGACTGTGGCATATCATCTCCCTCCAACCTCAAAATGATTCAGATTAGCCCACCAGACCTCTTCTGCATTCAGAGATCTAAGAGGAACCAGATTATTCCCAAATTGGAATATTCTGAACTCCAGCTACATCCCTTCACCTTCCTCAAAGGGCAAATCCTCAGATATATTTCCTGCTAGGGGCAAGAGTAGCGCCAGCAGGATCACTTAAAAAAAAAAGTTTACCTCAACACTTTTCATCAAGCAAATGTTGCTCTTTCAAGGGAAGAGATGAGTGGTGACATATAAGGGCTTCTGATAAAGATACAAAGAGATGGGACTAAAATATACAGTAAAGCGTTGTGAAATGATTCTCCAATTTAGGATTCAATATGCTGCAGTTGTTGTATATGAGACAATGCCGATGAATCCATGCATACAAATCTGTGCATAATCTCTTCGTTTATTCATTTTTAAATAGATTCTTTCAAGTGAATTTTAGCATTGGTGAAAAATATTGGCTTGACAGCACTGAGGTATGAGACCAACATTTTCAAACAAGGGAAAAGGGTGGGCTTTCAAAGGCATGAATGATAGGCAGGGGGAAATGCCGAGCTGTTAGATACCTACCTAGCTGCCATCTGTGTCTTTGACAATCTCTGCCTGGGTGCTTAAAGTTAGGCTGCTAAGTTCAACATTTAGGAAGTGGTCTGATTTTCAGTGTTACTGAGCAGCCCCACCTCTCATTGAAACCATGGCAGCTGAGAGTGCTCAGCACCTCTGAAAATCAGGCCATTTCTAATTAGGAGCCTATCTTTAGTCGCTTGGGGTTTACCTTTGTTGGTCTGAAATCCTCTCTCCACAGAACAGATAACTGCACAAGCCGTTGGACTGCCCAGCCAATTGGCCTCAACCCTGTTCGGTGGGTTCTGTTCCCGAGGCAGAACGTTGATTTGGCCTCCATGCCCATTTAATCCTCCACAGCTCTGTTGTGATGGCAACACAGGTAGCACGGTGAATTCATTTTTCCCCTACTGTTACTCACACCTTCTTGTCAACTGTTTGAAATGGGCCATCCTGATTATCACTACAAATGTTTTTTTTTCTCCTGCTGATAATAGCCCACCTTAATTGATTGGTCTTGTTACAGTTGGTATGGCAACACCCATTTTTTCATGTTCTCTGTGTATATGTATCTTCCTACTGTATTTTCCACTACATGCATCCAATGAAGTGGGTTTTAGCCCACGAAAGCTTATGCCTAAATACATTTGTTAGTCTCTAAGGTGCCACAAGGACTCCTCGGTTTTTTTGCTGTCCAACATGGTTTCATTCTAGGCAGCCATCAGGGGATGGCAACTCCTTGTCATTACCATCGTGGGTTAGATTTGTACCAGTTGCTGTAGGAAGTAAAAAAGTTCGCTGTCTTGTCAGCAGTCCCCCTGAACTGATGAACTTCCCCCGTTTCATACCACATAAATCCTTCTTACAGGAGCACAATGATTAACCTTCAAAACCCTCCTCCCCTTGAAAGTTAGCTTTGGCTTGAAGCTTGGCTCAAAAAATCATAGCCTAGGAAGGATTATTTTTACCGCCTAATTTTGAGGGGAGGGTCGGGAGAATTAATTGGTTTGTTATAAGGCCTGAATCTCAGCCCCACTGAACTCAGGGGCAGAACTCCCACTGATTCCAGTGAGAGAAGGATTTAGGGCCTGAGCTCCCAGGAATCGCACCATTTCGGAGGCTTCTGTTTTTTACACTCTTTATGTCTAATGCAAAAATAATTTTTTAATCCCAAAATTTGAAGGTCTCTAGTTCCTCACTTAGAAAAGCGCCTTTTGAAGTGAAAGGAAAGAAGAGGGGAAGAGGGAGGCTGATTTTGAAGAAGCAATACATTGTTTCAGGGCTTGTGTGTTCCTTTATTCTGCAGAGGAGTCCAGTCCGTAGGCTCAGTGCACATTCCTGGGAGCCTGACTGCCAGCGAAGGTCTGCCAGGCCAAACCCCCCCCCCAAAAAATAACCACAACCCACTTTTTGAAAAGTGCCCAGAGCTTGTATTTACCATCACACCCTAATAGGAAATAATCCATGTTTTCAAATGAGCCTGCATGCCCAAATATTTATTTGCCAGTTAGAGCGTAATGGCTCCCAAGCAGCTGTTCCGGAGTCTTTTGGGTACAACGTGTAAGTTAAGTTCTATGTAGTTTGCAATGTGTGTACACCAGATGAAGTATTTACCTGGATAATTTAAATAATAGGCCCTTGTAAAAGCCTGTTTGCATACTTAAGCGGTCCTACATGAGGGCTGGATTCACTCCCTCCCCAAGACCCTCCATGCATGGAATGGGGGTGCAGTGCAGTGGTTTTTCCAGATAGTTCTCTGAGAATAGAGGGAGGCGGGTAGGCCCAAGTCAATATTATACTTCCATGTCTCCCCTACATCCATAGCAGGGAGTCCCCCTGCTAAGAGGGTGGGTCTCAGGGTCAGCCAAGAATCAGGAGGGGTGAGGTCACAAAGCTGACACGTAGATACACGACGGCCGTGCAGAGGGCCCTGGTCTCTTGTGGATACAGGAGAATCTGCAGGGATCCTGAGCTGGCCTCTGGCCCATTCCCCAGTAGGGCAAATCCAATTCAGGAGGAAATTCTCTGACATTCCCTCATACCCCCATAGGTTGCCCTGCAGGAAAGAGCAATGGTATTCTGTGTGTTTCCCTAAGGAGAGTGGAACAGCTTTGAGAAAGTCTGACAGCTGTCCATGGAAATATTTTTCTTTTAGTGTTCCTTTTTTTCCTTTTTAAATGCAACCAAATAGCACCAAGGGCCACGTATGGTATTGCACTTAGTCTGCATGCACATGTCCTGACACCGGACTGCAGTTTGTAAGGGACATCAACAAAATCTGTAAAGCTCACAGCCAGGGCTGGTATTTCCTCTTTCACTCATATCGTCAGGCCTTTTTCTCACAATGGCTGGAGTCAAGGACGTGGTGTCTGTCTTATCTTTGAATTTCCTGGTTTTTGTCAGTGAGAGTGTCACAATGGCAATGTTATTAGCTCAGCTGTGTGGATAGCAACACAAAGATTTTGCTAGTGCTCTCTGAGGCTTATTAGAAAAGGCTGCTTATACAATGTGATGTGATTGCTTGTACACCTTTCCCTGTGTTCTTCCTTCCCCTTTGATGATGTTATAATGAAGCTGCTTTCATAGGATCAGGGATCACGATAGACTCTTAAAGTGAAGACATTTGCTTCGCCCTCCCTCCGCCCTGGTGACAGTTTTACTATATAAGCAGGGCTTTGCTGGCAGTGGAATTGCAATTTGCACACGGTAAGTGTAATCAAAACAAATTTCATTCTGACTCATTACAGATGGAGTTTTACTGCATAGGAATTCACTGTTGGCCAGTTGCATTCTATAGCTCAGATCAAAAACTGTGTCCTGTCTGTAATCAGAGAGTGCTGTAAATTGAGCGTCCCATACTATACAAGCTGAGCTGCAGAGAGATAATGCAAGTTCAATAGCTTCTTAGACAGATCGAGCTCTTGATAACTGTGAATTGTCTGCTTCAGAGCGTTCCAGTGTTGCCAATAGGGAATCATCCACCCTTTCTCACTCTGTGAAGCTGACTCTGCTGCTGTAATGATAGAAGCTGTGGCCTGGAAAAGCTCCACACTGATTCACAGAGGAATCAAGGCTGTCAGGCTGGGTGGTTGAGGCTTAGAGAGGCTGTTCCTACAATATGGAGAACCTTCTTCCAGAAGGTGCCTCCAACCAACAGCTTGAAGACTTAAAGGAAATTTGACACTTCTAGATGGTGTGACCCAGCAAGGGGAAGAAATGGAAGCTGTGGGGAAGCATGAAATTGACTTCTCCAAAGACTTACCACAAGGAGCAAAGAAAGAGTTTCTACCACATGAGAGTCTGACAAGAAAAGCCATTTGCCACTGAAATCTTAAAAAAATGTATTTAACAATTATGAATACAACAAGCTTTTAATATCTACTTCTCTAAACTGCTTGTGGGTTATTTGCTTTTCACCCACTAACCTACCCACTAATTTCCACAAAAAGACACAGGTCTGGCTTTTGTTACCAGAATTAGTTATTTTACTACCAGACAAAGATAAGCCAGAGTGATTATCAAGAAAAATAAGGGGGAAAAAAAGAATCTGGAAATCTTAGGCATTGTATTAAAACAACAGTTTTTAGGGTGTTTGATTTACTATTCAACTGTGCACAGCTGCTGCTTGAGAAATAGGAAACATGCCAAGGGAAAGAGATGGGGGGGAAAAACAGAAGGGGGCAGGGGGAAAGGTTGTTTGCACAATGAACTAGTTAAGTCAACTTGAAAATTATTATTACTAACCCACGATGGCAAGCTGATGATGGATACTTCAAGTGGCTCACCACTCACCCACTGCAATGACACTCATCCTTTGATTTGACTTATGTAACTTCATTACAAAGATTTAGGCCTATCTCTCACCATCTCTTTGATTATTTTTAATAAGCTACCTGACAATCATTGCTTTCATTTCATTTCTTCCTCTCACATTGCCCCAAGACACCCTCACATTGATGTCATGCTACCTGTTGGTTATTTAAAAAGCCACCACTTTACTAATTTACCCCAAATCCTCCAAACCCTCAAAAGACAAACAAAACAAAACAGAACTATAGAGTCTGCTGAAATCATACAAAGAGGTGATCAAGTCCAGGTCCTTAACAAACCTAAACCACTTTCTCAAGTAGGAATAATCGATATGAGGTAGAAAGAACAACCCATGTGTTCCCACTGGAAATGTGGCCTTTCTATCTTTCAGCTTGTATTCATTGGTGGAAATTGCTAGTGGGCCAAGACCTCCTATCCTAAAGCTAACATTTATGGTTGAGTTATAAACTCCTGAAAGCAAAGTCTTATCTTGCAAATGCTAACAGACCTCTAGCTATGGGATTGCTAGAAGGCGTGGCACAACTCTATTACTAAAAATATAAATGAAAGATTGGTTCCTAGAATCTTTTCAGATATAACCTGAGAAAAAAAAGAGAGAAATGTCCAAGGGCCCCTAATAGATTGTACTCTGACTACCACCATTTGCATCTAACACATTGTAAAAAGATTTCCTATTGTGTGATTATTCCAGAAGGCCATGGTATAGAATATTAGGCTTGAGAAATCATTTATTGGGCTCTTATCTTGCATACCTAATTGAGATGTGGGGGGGGGGGGCGGCACTGCATTTAAACTATAACTTGCAGACTAATTAAAGACAACAACTTAGTGCTTACATAGGGATTCCTGGTGATCTCATGATGACCTGCCTGCATTGTAAAGGGTAGATTAAAACTGACTGAATTATACCTTGTCTTTATTTTCCTAGTGATGTATGATTTCTTGGAGTAATCTTGCTTTATCCCCAAACCTATAAACCTTTGTTATTCAGGGTGACATAACCTACAGATGCCTCTTGGACCTTTTCACCTGGCTCCATGAAGGTCCTGTTTGTTAGAAGCCTTGAAGCTTATTTTTTCCTGTTGTACCTTTTCTCCAAATTGTCTTCAACTACCTATCTGACTAATAGGAAATCATCACCTTTCTAGAGGGAAAAGTGCAAATGAAGCAAATCATATATTGTATATTGTTTAGTTCATTTTTCTGGCATATAATATGTTTTCTAACTGAAAAGTCTAATTATCGTTTCCCAAGATGCATGTAATACAGAAGGTTATTTTATAGAATAATAGGCAAACAAATCTAGAATTACAAAATAAAAGCTAAAGTGGTGAGAGAAGGTAGAAAATATGTTTGCATGGTCCTCATGAACGCTATGGGCAGACACTAAATAAAAATAGGGGGAGTTTATTTGACAGTGTTATGAGGAGGCAAACTGGAAACAAACATTTGACACTCAAGCATTGGAATGTTGTAAAAATTTAATTAGATGGATACGTTAGTCATCCTTGCATTAAGGGGTTCATATAGGACTTACAAAAACACATGCTACGGTACTAAAGAAATGTTTAAATCCTTCCTGTAAATACCATTTCCCTCATTATTGGGAAATGTGCTTTCAGTGGGACCATTGACCATGTCTTTGTATTTACAAAATGTGGTTAGCAGGCGATTAACAGCATTAACAGCAGGGGTTTCTTGAACCAGACCAAGCTGCCCATTTTATATGGAAGTTTCTACAGCTGAGTTGTAGCCAAGTAGATGTGGCTGCTTGTTGGTTAGTATAGTTCATTAATACATGGCGTTTACAAGCAACCTGTTTCAGTAGTGCATCTGGGGAATAAAGGTGTGTCCAACTCTGTTCTGTGCAAAATGTTTGACTCAGAACACAACCGTGCTTGAAACAACCATTGGGTCAGTTTTCACCTACATTCATAAACTATCAGTGAACATTATGAACTCCTGAACCATCCAAAGAAAAACGTATTGCAAATTATTGCTTTGCCCGGGTAGCCACACACATTATCAGAGGGTTGTCCACAGTATGTTTTGTGTTGGAAAAGGTCACATGGTTCCATCAGAGTCTCCATTATCCTTTATTGGCTGAGCCTACATCAGGTGACCGGGAAGGTCAGCTCAGCAGCAGCTGTTTTCATTCAGAAAGAGATGAGCTCTCTGCTGCAACTGGAAAATTCCACAAACAAATATTTTCTCCTAGCTCCTGCATGTGTGTGGCTGAATCTGGATGGCAGCTGACCAATATATTATCAATTTCTGTAATGCCCTAGCTGTTTGGAGTCGTCTTATTTCTAACTTTTGTTTCAGTCTATGCATTTATATCCCAAAGTTTATAAGGGAAAATTTATTTTCCTGTGATCAGACGAGAGAGTTGGCCCCATTTCCACAGCTGGTAAACCAGCAAACCCATTTAATCTAAAACTTGCTATGGGAAGAGCCCCATGTATTTTGCCTGTGTGAAATACTACAAAATAAAATGAAAAAGGACATAAACAACACAAAATGAACAACTCACCCTGCAGCAATGGCTCCTGTCTTTCAGGGCTGGACCCAGCTGCCCTCTGCAAGCCTTGTGACCTGGCACATGGGGTCACAGTGCCACTCACTCAAATGTGGCCCAGCTGCCCCCTCATCAGGTTGACGGGGCCAAACCTGAGCAGCACTGAGCCCCATGGACCAGGTCACAACACCCATAGCTCCGCAACCCTTCCCCCAGGGTCTCCCACCCCCTGAGGGCAGTAACCAATTCCTCCCCCCTTGGGCAGCCCCAGGCGAGGAAGCAGAATATATAAGGGGGGATATAGGAGGGGCCCCTGGGACTAATGGCAGTGTTGAGGTTTAATGGGGGAGGAGGGAATATTTAAGGTGGGGAGGGAAGGGGTTTTGGAGCTAATGGGAGCTTGGAGGTGTAAAGTTCAATGGAAGAGGGGAAATATATAAGGGGGGATGGGAATGCTTGGGGAGGGATCACTAGGGATACAGAGGGGCATCTGGGTCCTGGAGTGTTCTGTGGAGTTTGTGTCACTGAGGGGGGATGGAGCAGTGGGGTTTATTTGCTGGCTGCAGTACTGGACAAATTTCAGTGGGGAACCCTAAGCAGCTGTATTTTAGAGTGGCTAACTGAGCTGGGGGAGGTGAGTGTCTCAAGGCCTGGAATAATGAATGATGCTTAATAAAATGATGTAATATAGCTAAACTGGACTTAATACACTGTTTTTTATTTGTTTGTAGGCATCTGAGGTATTTTATTACTGTAAACATAATAAAAAGAAATAAAATGAAATGTTTAAGGGATACATTCCCCTCAAAATAAAATTAAAAGTTATAATAAAGAAATGAATTTCACAGAGCTCTACCTATGGGTTCGACCCTGGGGAAAAAACAAGTTAATTTGGGGCCCAATCCAAAGCCCATTGAAACCAATGTGAGTCTCTGGAGCAGACCCAAGAGCCTGATCTCTTTTTGAACTTCGGGGCCAGCAAACCAGTGACAAAATAAATAATTTGCAACCCCATTTCCAGCCAAACATGGAAGGATATGTTCAGTTCTAATATCTCTGTCACACTTACACAACACTACGTTCTTTGGGCGCCTTCTACCTCACAGAACTGCCATGGCTTGGCTCAGAAGAATCTGAAGGATTTGCAGTGAGTTCTTTTCAGAGCACTATGCAAGGAAGGAGTTCAGACTTTCCCAATCTTTTTCTTAACGTGATCATTATTAATTCATTAACTGTGTTATTGTAGCACTTAGAAGCCCTAGTCACAGACCAGGACCCCATTACGCTACATACTGTACAGCCATAGAACAAAAAGACAGTCCCTGCCCCAAAGAGCTCCCTCTCTATGGCAAATATGAGAACATGTCAATGTAAGTCTCTTTAAACAATGCACATTTAGCAGTAAATAAGCCAGGTAATATTTTAACACAAACATTTAATCTATTTTTATTTTAAAGAAAATGTCAGAGGCATGGGAATGTAAGAGTAATTGTAGAGATAGGCTATGGGGTAGGAAAAGAACGAAATACATAATATTATTGAATCATGCATCAACGAATATTTTGCCTCTGTCAGTGTGTTCGTGACTGTACATGAAATAAAAAGATCAATTATTTTTCCAGACTCCAACAGATTTGCACAAAGTCCATTAGTGTCTGTAACCATCTACAAGCATGTAAATGAGGAAGGCTCATAACTTTTGAGAAAGTGAATTCTGACATTAGAAAATTACATATGTGAACACTGTATCATTTCTCTTCATATATCAACACCGTGTCGTTCGTCTGCATATCTCACTTCCTTTTGCAGATTATTTCAGATTAGAATAGGCATCACTTTTAGGTGGAAGACAAACAAAAAGTCTACCTGTGAACTAGGACTGCATGTAATCTGATGCAGAGCGCCTTCTGCTTTTGGACAGAGCCATAAAGAATTGGGTTCACACTGCTTCTAGCTGGCAGACAAGTGGGCAATTCTGGCACTTGTGAGAGGTGCAGAGTGACCAAGCCA